AAAAAAAAATACATGTCAAATATTTTTTTGAGAACTATATCTCACATAAGTTTCATTAAAATCAGTGTGTCGCGGTTCGATATGTTTCCTTGTAAGTAAAAAAGTAAGCAAGTGAATACTGAATTATGAATTAATATATAGAACTATTCCGTATCTTAAAAAATATGACAAACATTTCAGAAAAGTACAGTAACAAAATTTTGTATTATAAACTGTGAGACCTGAAACCTTTTATTTTGAGTGGTTGATGGTTCCAATATTAATAATTTCTATAATTTAAAATAAGAAATCTTGTTCAAAATTAATCATTTTGACAGATTCTGTAAATCTCATGTTAAGCAACATTAAATGCAAATTTTTTCTTCTTTTCAAAAAAATGCTTACTCTAATTTCGTGTACTTGTTCATTTTTATACAGCAGCTTAATCCTATAATTATATAAAATTTGAATCGAATCCATATTCCAAAACTCATGCAGTGTTTTTGCAAATTGATTTCAGTTCGATAAGAATGTGAATTTCTAACTTTTGCAAATTGAAACTAATTAATAGGTCCATCCAAAGTATTCACGTATAATTTTGCATTATACAAAATCATTGTATATGAAAATTTATCATTGTATAACGCATAACGCGAATAGTATAAAGTAATATAATTGAAATCATTATTGTTACGTCAAACATCATTTTCTGTTTTGTCAAATAGCTTAGTTTGAGTACATCTTATTACATATCCTATTGTATGAAAATTGCGTTATATGACAAAATTTGTCTGAATAGCTTTGACGATACAGTAATTCGCGTTGTGAGAACTCGCAAGAACCTACTATAAATTAATTATTGATAAACCTGAAAAGAAGCTATCTAATAACTCGTTATTTAAGAGAATCCTTAGAAACATATTATCCGTAGACACCAACGTCATATTGAATCCTAACTGGAATTCACGTTATAGATATTGCAAATGTTCCAAGTGGCTGAAGGCAGCCGGCACAGTTTAAACCGTAGAATACGTAATTCGCTAACGATTGACTATAGGGCTGGTTTCAGTGACTGTGAACCCGCTGGCACGTTCCCCGGGAACTCGGCGGGCAGTTCGTCGAATAGTAGTTTGTCGACGAGAAGTCTGGATAGTCCAAGTACCAGCCTGGAGCAGGTGCACCCAGCTACATCGGCGGCAAATACATCAACCTCGTGGGACAGCGATGTTGATGTCGAACCAGATCCACCTGACTGGAGTCAAGGTGTTGCTGAGGATGTCCTTTCTAGACTTAGCAACGCCGAGAAGAAACGTCAAGAAGTTATCAATGGTTCGTATTTTATTTTAAAAGAACTTTCGTTTCAATGCCTACTAAATAATTAAGGCAGGTCAAACATGGGCAAGTTAATAGAGGGGCAGGTCTAAACAATGACATTTTCTAGACACTACATGTGTACTGATTGATTACGGCAATATGGTTGATCTTTATTATTTAAATGTTTATCACGATAGAACGCATGTCTATGTATGCTAATATTATCAGTTGGAAATATACGAACATGGAAGTTTGGAAACTTGAGAATTTTGCAAATGTGTGGTCCTGAGGTTTAGAAACATGAAGATTTGAGAATTTTAGAATTCAGGAATTTCAACATTCGAAAATATAAGCTGTTTGGAAATTGTCAAATTTCAAAATTTAGAAATTTAGAATAATTTCATATTATTTTATTTTATGTATTTTACATTTCTCAAACATGTAGTATAACTTTATCTTGAACGATACAGGAATAGAAACAATTATCATAAGATATGTATCAACATGTCCCAGAGCAATATAAATTAATAAAAATTAATAAAACATTTTGATTTTATCAAATAAACATTCTGTGATATATTTTATATGCGTTGTTTTCATATTTTCATATACAGTATATGAACATACCAGAAAATACAAAATATATTTTAAAATATTTCTTATTAAATAATTCATTTGAACAAAAATTGTAAACATTAAAAGGTGCAAAATATATCAACTTGCATCAATTTCCCCTACTCTGAATGCTTTTATCAACTTTGGATGGAATAGAATAAATACGTTGGTATAACTAAAATTGCGTAGGGAAACTTTCGATGTAAAGTAAGAAAATGTTGGATTATCACTATATGATCATTAGTATTTTCTAGAGAAAATGGAAATATTATATTTCTAAATTACTCCAAGAAAACATTCTTAAGATACTCCAAACTTTCAAATTCCTCAAATTTCCAAATATTCAAGTTATAAATTTTCTAAGTTTATAATTTTTATATTCACAAATATTAATTTACAAACTTACAAATCACTAAATTCTCAAGTTTCAGAACTTTTTATGCCAAAATTCAAAGATTTTCATAGTTTTAAATTCTTACACACGTTATCAAACCTCCTGCAATTTTCAAATTATTAAATACTAGGGGGCGGTGCCCCCTAGCCGCTTCGCGACCCAAAATATGGTTGATCTTTATTATTTAAATGTTTATCACGATAGAACGCATGTCTATGTATGCTAATATTATCAGTTGGAAATATACGAACATGGAAGTTTGGAAACTTGAGAATTTTGCAAATGTGTGGTCCTGAGGTTTAGAAACATGAAGATTTGAGAATTTTAGAATTCAGGAATTTCAACATTCGAAAATATAAGCTGTTTGGAAATTGTCAAATTTCAAAATTTAGAAATTTAGAATAATTTCATATTATTTTATTTTATGTATTTTACATTTCTCAAACATGTAGTATAACTTTATCTTGAACGATACAGGAATAGAAACAATTATCATAAGATATGTATCAACATGTCCCAGAGCAATATAAATTAATAAAAATTAATAAAACATTTTGATTTTATCAAATAAACATTCTGTGATATATTTTATATGCGTTGTTTTCATATTTTCATATACAGTATATGAACATACCAGAAAATACAAAATATATTTTAAAATATTTCTTATTAAATAATTCATTTGAACAAAAATTGTAAACATTAAAAGGTGCAAAATATATCAACTTGCATCAATTTCCCCTACTCTGAATGCTTTTATCAACTTTGGATGGAATAGAATAAATACGTTGGTATAACTAAAATTGCGTAGGGAAACTTTCGATGTAAAGTAAGAAAATGTTGGATTATCACTATATGATCATTAGTATTTTCTAGAGAAAATGGAAATATTATATTTCTAAATTACTCCAAGAAAACATTCTTAAGATACTCCAAACTTTCAAATTCCTCAAATTTCCAAATATTCAAGTTATAAATTTTCTAAGTTTATAATTTTTATATTCACAAATATTAATTTACAAACTTACAAATCACTAAATTCTCAAGTTTCAGAACTTTTTATGCCAAAATTCAAAGATTTTCATAGTTTTAAATTCTTACACACGTTATCAAACCTCCTGCAATTTTCAAATTATTAAATACTAGGGGGCGGTGCCCCCTAGCCGCTTCGCGACCCAACCCCCTGAGGCGCTTCGCGCCTATTTCGTGTCAATACGCTTCTAAAGTGACATGGTGAGTGGACCTTGGATTGTGGAGTAGAGGGGGTAGCGATCCGCATTACAGCGTTACGCGTGACACCGTTACCTTATGATTTTTTGTAGAGTAAGAGAGTAAGATAAAGTAAGATTAAAATTCTTCAACTTTGTTATTACCAATTTTTCAATTTCTTAAAGTTCCACGTTTTCAAATTCCCACATTCTTAAAGTTTCTTATATTCTCAAATTCCAAAATCTCCGTATTTCTAAACCCCAAGGCTCCAAAATCTAAAATTTGACAAATTCACAAACTTTCTAATTTCTATATTCTCAAATTATTAAATTTTCAAGTTTATTCATTTATTAATCACCAACTTGTCAAATACTTAAATTGCTAAGTTTCTATATTTTCTACAATTTTATTATTCTTACAATCACTCTCGACTATGTATGCAATACAAAATTTGTTGTTCTATTAAAGTTAAGTAATTATCTTAAAAATGTCGTTTCTCTTCTGTTTCTTTCAGAACTCTTTCACACAGAGCGATCTCACGTGCGGGCATTAAGAGTTCTATCGCAGGTGTTTCATAAGCCGCTCCTCGAATCTCAAGTACTTCCGTTAGACCAAATCCAATTACTATTCTCAAATTTAGACGAAATGGTAACGATTCATTCGCGCTTTAATCAAGCGATGAAACGCAAAAAAAAAGAGAATCCGTGCGTGGGCGACGTTGGCGAACTGCTGCTGGAAATGTTCGATGGCGAAAACGGAGAGTCATTCGAGAGAGCAGCGTCGACGTATTGCGCGAAACAGCAGGTAGCCCTGGATGCGTTGCGAGATCGTCGTCGCAAGGATCCGAAATTAAATTCATTTCTGAATGAGATTGAAGCAAATCCCCTGTGTCGGAGGTTGCAGCTCAAAGATCACATCCTTACCGGGATGCTTCGATTGACCAAGTATCCCCTTCTCTTTGAAAATCTGGCCAAATATACGCCGGAGAGTAACGATAAAGAGAGGACCGCCGTTTTACGAAGTCTCGAGCGAAGCAAAGAGATTCTCAGCCGCGTGAACCAGGCTGTACGGGAGGCTGAAGATTACCACAGGCTGGCAGAGATCCAACGCACCATTGATAGAACCGCATTCGACAAATTCGACCATCCGACCGTTCAGGAATTCAAGAATCTGGACATCACGAAACGCAAGCTGATCTATGAGGGTCCGCTACAGTGGCGCAGAACCGAGCAAAATCGAGCAAAACCCGTTGATTTGCACGTTGTGCTGCTCGACGACACGATATTCTTGCTGCATCGACAAGACGAAAAGTACCTGCTGAAATTTATTAACACGAATCAAGCGAACTCTGTGTTGAGTCCGATTGTGAAGGTGTCTACCGTTCTGGTCAGGCACAATGCAGTCGACAAAAATTCTCTTTATCTGGTCAACACCTCCCAAAACGGAGCACAAATCTATGATTTAGTGGCAGCCTCGCCTGCGGAACGGAAATTGTGGTGTAAGCATATATCCGAGGCAGCTGAAGCGTACAAGGCTCGTGACAAACAAGGTAGAAGACCTACGCCGCCAACCACACTGCCAGAAGAACCTGGACCTATGACCGAGGACATATCTTCCACGGAACATGACAATATTCTTGACAAAACGGATCAACAACCGGAACAGGAAGTGGAAACGAAAGATTCCACGTCAAATACTAGCGTGGAGCAGGAAACTGAAGCACCTAATACTCCTGGGCCTGAGCCGTCCACTTCTGAACAAACGAAACAACAACAACAACCACCACCATCAACTGAACCTTCTGCAACAGGTGTCACTACGTTTATATATTATCTAAACATTTTCTGTATTGAAAAATAATTTTCATATTATGATACGATCTTTATACGATTAGTAATCATTTAAAAGTATAAGCAAGAAAAACATTGATTATAAAATAAGAAAATATGCATTATGGAATTTTAACTTTTTTGAAATATTAGGGAATTCAATACTTCATGAGCTATGGGATATTTATCTAAATCTAATAGTGAGCATCTTTTTTAGTAGAATAAAAATCACTGTATGTATGAGAAAAATGTAATGGTAGTTATGTCATAAAGAACGTTCATTTTTTGTACAAAATTATTTATTTTGATTTATATTTATTAGTATACATATATTGTTGTCAATTCAATGTCAGAATGAATCATATCAAGATATATGAAGTGATATTCAATATAAGTTTTTAATTATATTATATTGGTTTTAATAGACAATTTGTTTTTAATTTAGGTATAGGAGAACCATTACGAATGGTTACTTGCACGCAAGTATCATTAATAGACCCACTGGAAGTTCATGTAGAAGTACCACCTGTACATGTTGCTGAACCAGTGTTCACACCTATAGGTATATTTTATATATATTTAATTTAAATAATTTTGCTTTTAAATGTAATAAATATTAATGTAATTAACGTTATACATAATTTTCAGAATGCCTCAGAAGAAAAGATGAGATAATTAAGCAAGCTTTAATCGAGAAACAGTTATTGGTGGCAGATATTTTGAATATTCCAAAAGAAGATTATGAACATGTTGCAGACATGGCATCTGAGCCATCGAGCATGGAAAAAGAACCTGCTGAACTTATTCTCGCTGCTATTAGTCAAGGTATTTTTAAAAGACCCAGCAATACAGAGAATTGAAGGATATAAGGATTTAGGAATGTAGATATCAAATGATCTGGTTATTCAGCAACCTTAGTATCCAAGGTTCTATGTATTCAGGCACCTTAGTATTTAGAGATTTAAGTATTTATTGACTTACACTTCAGAAGTCTTGATATTGAGAAATCCACATATCTAAGGATGTAGGTTCCAAGAATCTTGATATCCGGAAATCTAGGTATCTAGGAGCTTATCGTTAGATATCCACGGATGTGGGTATCCAAAAATATAAGGGTCTAGTTTACGACTATATGTCTCAGTGTAACATATACACATACATTGTGCCTTTATAATTACTGTTCTTTTACACTTAATGCCATTCGAGACCACACTTTGCTGTAGAGTGTCGTTCGCTAATTTCACATATCGTCATCATTATTACCGTTAGTATGACTAACAGTACTACTACATTAGTAGTCATACTACTACTACATTAGTAGTAGTACTACTAATAATGTACAGTAAACTACTACTACTACTACTAATATACAGTAAAGTCTACTACTACATTATAAGATTTTTATGATAACATCGTGCATAGCTCATATGAAATAATCACATGAAAATTCGATCCAAATGGCGTCAAGCGTAAAAGTTACTATGTATTAATGTAACAGTGCACTATAAATAATATCATATGCTTTCCATTGCTATATAAATTTTCAATGTTTCTATGTAACACATAATATTTTATTATATGTTATTTTATATTTGTAGCGAATCAATTGGTAGGAATGCTAAATTCCGCCTTAAATGTAAGCGAAACGGAAACGGTTCTTGCGTCACGAGGAACATCATCATTAACAGCATCGCCTAGTTGTGAAGCGACTGGTTGTCCATCGCCTCGATTACATTTTCATTCTCAGCAACCAGCGATACCAATTGCGAGCCTGCAACCAGTGTGTCACTCTTTAACGTCTCAGTTGTCCCAATTATTGGTAAGAAGTTTTACATCAAAAACAAATTTTTATATTAAAAAAAAGGAAAACAGTCAAGATTGTTTAACCAAAAAATTATATTTAAAAATGTGAAATGCATCTTGTATATTTTTATAACTTTTTATTAAAAAACATTCTACATTTTTGAATCGTAGGAAATTGTAAAAGAAAGAGAAGAAGAACGGGAAACATTGAGAAAAGAATTACGTAGAAGTAGAGAACGACTTCATGCTCTTGATGCAGATATTAAACGTCGCGATTTTTCTGAAACATGCAGTACATCATGTCAAACACAAACGGAATCCGGTTAGTTCCTTGTTTTTTCAATTTTTTAGAATGTAGATTCATTATATTTTTGTATTTAAAATTATATGAACGTATTAATTTATTGGTTTTCTGCTATTTACAGGTGAAATTTTAAATAAAGAAAGCAGTATTGATGATACAACTCGTGATGTAAGAAAAATTATAATTCTACAACTTGTTAAATATAATATTTATGACAATAATTTTAAACTATATTTATAACAGTCTATCATTATACCTTAATTTTTTGTGCAAATAGGAATTTGCAGATGCACGCGGTGAATCTGAAACAAACGAAGAATCGGAGCATACAGAACACGAAATAGAAACGGAAGTAATGGGAGATAGCGTTGGTTGAAGCAACTAAGACATTGTATTAGATAATGTCAACCAGGTGCATTTCATGAGCAAGATCGTTTCTGAATGCTCATACTGGAAGAAATCAAAATTATGTAAAAAAAAAAAAAAACATGACAAATGGCGAGTAGCTGTTTATGAAATACAATAATATTAGAATCATATTTACAGAATCATGGGTCAATGATTAATTATACCTTTGCCAAAGATTTTATGTAACTGGATCTGAATGGCGTTGCCTCCTGCGCGTCATGTTATGATGTCAGTGACTGGAAATTATACATAAACTTTTGCTTAAAAATAGTATTATCATGCAGATTCTAAAATAATACAGTGAGAGAGAAATTTCTCCATAACGAGTAAGAAGAAATTTCAAAGAAATTTCACCAGTCACCAGAAGTTTTATTTACTTAAAGAGTTTTTTCCACATGCATTATTTAAAAGTTTACGTTGCCGTACTATTCTAATAATACCCATTATTGTATAAACATTGTTAAATCGTGTGTTTCGAACAACATTCGATTTTTACAAATTTCATATACAATATCAATTTGTACACTTGAAATTTGTTTCTTGATATACTTTTAGAGAAAAAAATTAATAGAAACATTTATGTAGAACTTACTTTCAAATACTTAATTATTAATGCATTTTATATTAAAAAGACAAAAAAAGAACGTTTACATAAGTATGTTATTGGCGTTTAGAACAATTTAGTTGTTCACCTTCAAGGAATATACACGTTGTAATTTACAATGGCGTATTTGGAACCAACTGTGTTACTATATCATAGTTCAATAATCATGAAACATAACATGCATTTATACGAAAATATATAACCAACAAATACGTCTATTTGTAATGTATGCAGAAGAATGCAAAATAATAATTTTCGACGCAGCATTATTATCTAAAAAGCGCTTTTACATACTTTTTTATATTCCATGACCTAATGTTCAGGATATTCAATCCAGAGGTGGCAAATGTCGATTGGTTTTTGGAAATCTTTGGAATGATTAAAGAAAGAACTTATTGTAATAAAAATTCCGAATACAGTATACTTTCTTTGTAATGCATTTCTTGTAATATAAAGTGTGAAAGCAATTGCATTAGAAGAAATAAGTAACAGTTCTAATATTTAATTTATTCGTTGCTATTAGATTACGTTTATTGTTACCATCGAGTGTTAATTTTCTAATTTATGTTAATATCGATCTGATAATTATTGTTAATAAGAGAGAAATCGATGGAAAATTACGTAAAAGGAAAGTAATAAAAGCAAGAAAATATGTAAACCTCTTAGTATAATAAGAACAATTGAATTCTATATTTTTAGTAATATAGATCAAATTAATAATAATTCAAAAATAATAAATATATCAATACATTTCTTCCAAAATTTTTATCACTTTTACATTAAAAATATGTAAAACCTGGAGGAATGAAACTCGGTTAAATTAAGGAATATCTGTGTTTATATTAATACAATGTATTATTCAAATATTTCATTGTTTTATTTATTAATATTATTTCATTTAATTTTTACTTCTTGAAATTTTTATAATTGTTTTCTTTTTCTTTAAACATTCAATACGAGAAACATAGATTTCATTGATTATAAATTATAAAAATAAAAATGATATATGAAATTAGCTGACTATTTATAATCATATTAAATATAAGATTATTACTATACATGTTACTATCAATGAGTTTGTAATAAAGTTTAAACAGTTATGTGAAATTGTAGATAAAAAATGTATGAATTTTAATTAAAATACATCTTATATGGTGATTTAAATAATGTTAATGGCAATATACTTAATTTTTGACGAATGAAACTGAAATTATAAACCTTTTTGCATTTTTTCGCAAGAATAAAAATTCATTTGTGTTCTATCAATCCGATTTATTTATTACAGAAGAGTTTATTAACTAATTACAAAAATATAAAATCTAATTATTGACCGTTCAGAATTAATGTTTATGTTGAATGTACGTCAGTACGTCACGTAGATTATTTACTGACGGCATTTGCCTTGAGAAATATTTCCTCTTGGTGCTACACTTGCCTAATTAAACAATCAAGTTCCTTTTTCAAATATAATGAATTTTAAAAATAGAAATAAGAAAATGGAACAGAAATTTGTATACTATTTATAGGATCCTGAACATAAATGGTAACTTCAAAATTATTAATAATCGTAGATAAGAAAAACAATAGCTGCTATGTATAAAAACAGAAGTTAAAAACGAATTTATAGCGAATAAATATGTACAATCATAGACGAAACGTTGTAAAAACTATTTTAACGCAATTTAATTAAAACCACTTATTATTCCAATAATGGAGTTTTCCAATTATGAAATACAGTTGACCCAAAAAAATTGTACTACTCTTTGTAACAAAGGACTGATCTTGCAAGAAAGACTTACCTGTTTACATAAAATCTTTGCTACTACTGAATACTAATAATTCCCTACTTATAAAATACGAACTATTATAAATACATTACTACGTACATGTATAAAGTATTTAATAATATTATTAGTTGATATTATTATTATTATTATTATTAATTATTAATATTATTGATTATTATTATTAATTATTATTATATCATTGCATTAAAATACTTATTACATTGTAAATTGTAGTCTTTTAAACATTTTTTTTTAATTTTACCTGCACAAACAAATCATAATATCTTTAATTGTCGCTATAAATGTTGTACCTATGCAAAGTAAAATCTTCTGATGCATAACATTGCAAAGCTCCTTAAATATTTAATTTGTAATTGCAACTTCAACTTCCTTAAACAATTTAAAATCATAATATTGACGTCAATTACCATCAGTATTCTATCACAATATAAGACATCATAAATTTAATGTCAACATAAAATTTGCAAAAATAGTATCTGAAAATCTAATAAATTCACGAAGTTACAAATTTTTTAAATGCCAGTGGAGTTCTACTCTACAATGTACATATGTACAGTGAAACACCGAAATCTGTAGAATGTTGATTTTCACCGGTAAAATATTTGCGAAATACCCTTATTTCTAACTTACACCGGTAAATGTCAATATTCTCCATGCACTAATGATAAATGTTGAACATGTCGGAGATTTATATTTTCTTCTCCGTAATTCAGTCGCTATAAAACGTCACAAGGGTGACGTAACTTTTTCGCCTCTTTTTCTGAAAGGAGCGGTCAAGAATTTAAAACACACAGTACATTCTAAATGAGAAAAGAAAATAATAGTAATAAAAAAGTTACTTAATTATGTGATTCAAATCTTATTTATTGCAACAACTTAAACTATTATGACACTTTGAATTGCACAAGAACCTTGCTTTTACAACTGAATTTTTTTGTGGAACACTTCCTTTTGCAATGATAGTGTGTATAGCCTTGCCCCTCGCTTCTCGAATTACCTACAGCTGCTTCTCTCAGCAACATTTCTTGCAAAGAAATCTCATCTATGAAAAGTAACTTTTCTGTACAAATTACGAATTGATTACGTGTGTAAAGCTGCTTGAGGGTACCATTTTTATTTGCCAGTTTATAGAAGTCGGAGTCTTCCATTCCAACAACAACCGCTAACACATTTCGGCTATCTGTACGACTACGGTCGACATTAGGGACTTGTATTCGTACAGTATCACCAATTTGAGCAGGAGGAAATTGTTTTTGTGAGGTTCGTAATATTTTTGTTGCGTGCAGTAGAAGATTCTCTTTCGCGGCCGCTCTTTTTATAGAAATTAACTCGTGTTTTTTAGTCAGAACTTGATGTGAAGACGTTATAGATTGCAGGTCCTCTTCAATATTTTTCTTTGGAATATGGTTTTCGATATAACCACTGCTCAAATTTTTTTCAGAAGTATTAACAGTTTCTTCAAGCTGTCCTTCAGTTTCAAAAGTATTGTCAATTTCTTCGAGTTGTTCTTCGATTTCAATATTTGCGATTTGTTCGCTAGGCTCTTTTTGCTTTAACGCCAAACATGGCTTCATAAGGACTTTGGCGTATTCTTTCGTGGTATGTAGTGTTCTTGGCAAACTGAACAAAGGTTAGTATAATCTTTGTATCGTTATTGTTCATCCATGCAGTTAGCATATTCTGTATATCCTGATAGGCCCTTTCAACTGAGCCTTGTGTTTGACTGTGACAAGGCTTTCCATGAATTATCTTAACATCTTTCCACATAGCGCATATTTCGGATATGACTTGATTACTGAATTCTCTACCATTATCTGATTGCAATATTGCTGGTGCACCAAATGTTAAAAATATTAAAAAAAACGTGATACGCTACTTCTTCAGCTCTTTTAGTTTTCAAAGGTTGTAGCTGAACAAACTTAGTTAAATGATCTTGATACACCATTATGAACTTATATTCGCCATCTCTGTTTGACTGCAGTTCTATCAGATCAACTTGACATCTTGAGTTTAAATCAGAAGTGACCATTGGTTTCACAACAATATCTTATTTAGGTGCACTGTGCTTCATTTGACACTGTTGTTCTTCCTCCGTGGCCTATTCTGGTGTGAGTTTCATATAGTATACTGAACAATTCTTCATTAGTAACATAATACTGTATATTTGTTTCCCCTGGTTTTAATGGTACAATTAACTTCTCTTCATCATTCATTTTTAAAACGTCAAAACGTTTTAATCGTCTGTAATCCAAAGGAGTGTTGCACTTAGTTTTAGCAGAAATCACTTCAGAAAGTATTTTAGAGTACTTTTCTTGAGAAAAATAAAAACAATTGTCTTCTCGTTTACCCGCAATGAATGCATTCAACTTTTCAAGAAAAAGATCACGATTTACTGCAGTATCCATTTAGTATAAATTACGGTATCGGAAAAAAAAATTAAGAAAACGTTGCTCGCATCATCTAAGCTTGCATAAGACTGACAAAGCTGACTGACTCTCACAAGGAAAGGCACGCAAGTGTCCCCCTCCAATTTTGATGAAACTTCGTAGGTTTGTTAAGCAGGCAAAAATAAGAGACACGTATTTTTTTTATCGGCTGAGACGCGGGTTTAAGGGGGGAAATACCTTTAGAATCTTAAAAAAATTGAAAATTTTTTTTTTTCCATAAAATGTTAGTGCAGCATCTTAAAAATATTGTCTCAAAATTTTAAAGTGAAATACGAAGCCCTTTTGAAGTTATGGCCGATTAGCGCCGCGGGTATACACGCGTTCAGTACGGAGGACCGAAACTTTAAACGCGTTTTTCTCAAAACTACATTTTTACAATTGGTGTGGCTGATAACTCAAAAACTAGTTTATCAATCGCGCTCAAATTTTTTGCACATATCCATGACAATAGTATCTAAGATATGAACCTAAATGTATGAAATAAATTGAACATTAAAGTCCTTTTTTATTGCAAAACATTGCGAAAATTTTCAATAAAATTCAAAGTTTTTCTT